AGCTCCGCAGAGGATGGGTGATGAAACAGGACAATGACCCAAAGCATACAAGTAATTCAACAAAACAATGGCTGCAACAGCACAGAATACGCCTTCTGGAGTGGCCCAGTCAGAGTCCTGACCTCAACCCGATTGAAATGCTGTGGCATGACCTTAAGAGAGCGATTCACACCAGACATCCCAAGAATATTGCTACACTGAAACAGTTTTGTGAAGAGGAGTGGTCCAAAATTACTCCAGATCGTTGTGCAGGTCTGATCTGCAACTACAGGAAACATTTGGTTGAGGTTATTGCTGCCAAAGGAGGGTCAACCAGTTATTAAGTCCAAAGGTTCACATACTTTTTTTCCTCCCTGCACTGTGAATGTTTACATGTTATGTGCAACTAAACCATGGCAACATCTAATGTTTGTGTAGTATTATGTTCAGCAGACTGTGTTCTTCTATTGTTGTGACATAGATGACGTTCAGAGCACATTTTATGCCCAATTCATGCAAAACTCCACGTAATCCCAAGGGGTTCACATACTTTTTCTTGCAGCTGTAAGCAGGTAGGCTTTACTAAAATTTAATATCCTTTCCTATCAGTCTGGTGTCTTTTTGTACTTTCTTCTCTTTTCTCTTCCCCTCTAATTTTGCTATATTGCTGTTTCTCCCTTTCTTTTGCTCTTTCTTCTGCTCCTTCTGTACTGGGAATCTAGTCTTTCTTCTGTGGGCGAAATGATGTACACTCTTCTCTAATGTAAAACTTGTAGACAAACTTTATTTTCAAAATGCCTTCACTGACAGCAAGTGTGCCGAAAAGTCATTTACTAAGCTTATCAGCACAATGATATTACTTTCCTGTGACCAACAATTTCTCTGGATTTTAACGTGGAAGATATTTTGGCAGATTTTTTTTTCTTTCATTTTCTCCTTGCTGTAAATAGCTTTTTGTGTAAGCTGCAGGAAAAATAAAACATCATAGTAGAACTTTAACCTCCCATTAAAGAAAAGCGGAAAAAAGTTCTGCAGCACTCAAGACCTAAGTCTAAAAAAATAAAAAAAAAAAACAAAGAAATAGTACAATTGACGGTACTTACATTAAATGTACTATAGCTTCCACCACTGAAAAGTGTTCTGTGAATTCATTTCATCCATCCTCCATTCATAGATGGCTTTTCATTGCATTAGGGCTCGTTCACACTTGACTAGTTTCTAATGCTTGCCAAATGCCCCTATAGCGTTTGACAGGCGTTTGGTAGGTTTAATGGTATTAACGCTCCACAAACGCCTCGCAACCGCCTTGCAAGCGCCCCGCAAACGCCTGCCAGGCGTATGAGGAGCATCACCATAAACTTGAATAGGAGGTGTCAACTCCTTCGACTGGACATGAGGCGTCAGTTTTGCCACGCTAACTCTTCAATGTGAACAGCACTGTGTGCTGCCATGTGTAGAATTTTCATAAGCATTTGAGGAGCGTTAAAAACACTTCCCAAACACCAGTCTAATGCCTGCTAACAAAGCTAGTGTGAACTTAGCCTTAAGCTTATAGTATGCCCAACACATAGGATTCAAAATATTAACATTGACGTACAAAGCTGTTCATAACACTGCCCCAAACTACATCACCGACTTGATATCCATCTACCACCCAAAACACACTATCCGCTCCTCACAAGACCTCCTACTCTCCAGTTCCCTGGTCTCCTCCTCCCATTCCCATCTCCAGGACTTCTCCAGGGCTTCCCCCATCCTCTGGAACTCGCTACCCCAATCCATCAGACTCCTCACCTTAGGCGCACCCTGAAAACACATCTCTTCAGAGAAGCCTACCCAGCCCTCAGCTAATTGCTGATCTCCTCCGCTCTTCCCACCACTCCATCCCCTACAGCCATTTCCTCCTGTACCACTATCCCCTCCCTCCTAGATTGTAAGCTCCAAGGAGCAGGACCCTCGAACCCCTCATGTATCGCATTGTATTGTTACTGTACTGTCTCCCATTATTATGTACAGCGCTGAGCAAACTATTGGTGCTATATAAATACTGTATAATAATAGTACAGTATGATTCTAAGAATGGAAGAAGGGGCGTAGAGAGTGGGCATAGTCCCACAGGTCTAAAGACAGGTCCAGCGGTTCATATTACCCCCCTGATGCTGCTGGGGGTAATACAAATGTAAAGGAGGGCAAAGGATGAAAGATTTCAAGGAAGACTTGATTCACACCTATGCTTTTGTTCCGTTTTCTAATGATTTTTTCCACTGTGCTTTTACGCACGTGTTTTTGCCACCTTTTTGTCACGTTTTTACTTTTTTTCAGCTTTTTTTTTTGTTAAAGTGGATATTTTTTTTGTTGCTGGGCAGAAATAAATGCAAAATGCAGCAAAAACACAACACAACTACAAAAACTACATGCATTTCAGCAGCTTCTCCATTGAACTCTATTGTAGCACAAAGCTGCTTTTTGTGTTTTAAACACCCCTTCCCACCGGCGCCTCCCGGCCCTTTAACCCTTTGAGGACCAAGGGATGTATTTGTCCCATGTTTTTAATTGCGTGTATCATCTGATTAAGAACTTAAAACTCTTTTGGTTTGAGTCAAAATATTAGTTCTTATCAACAACAAACAACAAATGGATCTAGCTTTTTGCTAATTATTTCATGAAATGGCTTAGTTACAGCAACTGAAGTGTACGAACTTTAAAAACAAAAAAATTGATTCTTTTGGCGTTCCAAAACCTTACGGTCCTCAAAGGGTTAAGAGTTTTAGATGCTGGGAGGCAGGGCAGGTGGGGCGTGGTTTAGGGATCATTTGACTGCCGTGACGCATCATCACGGCGGTCACATGATCAGGAAAGGTCCCGATCGAAAGAGCGGACCGGGACCTTTCCGTGAGTACCGCACATGTGTGCTGGGAGCGCGCAGGTGTGCGCGCTCTCAGCACATATGTTTTTTTGTTACATGAACGCAAATGTGCAGCCGCTCGGCGTCTAGGCCCAGACACCGGGAGGCCGCATTTGTTTGCAGCCGGCGTAAAGGGGTTAAAAAAGTCCCTGACCCTTTCCAAAAATGCAGCAACTCAAAAAAGTATAAATGTGAGCATGTCCCATAGGGAACCATGTTAAATGGACTGTATTGCGCTTCTGCAAAAAAGCAAAAAACACTAAAAAGGGTATTGGTGTGAACCAGGGGTAAAAAAGTAGCCACCAGAACAAGAGGCACTTCTCATTCAATGGAAATTCCATCTCTTGTGCTAGTTATAAAAAAATGTACCTAAAGATAGGCTTTCATTATAGGCATAACAGCACTTACAGTTTTCCCTTAGTCCCCCTGCAAAGTCCCACAAATACCTGTAAATCCTGCCCACTAATGAAGCTTCCTGTGATGGTGCGGCAATGATGCTTCAGTGATCCTAAATTCAGAGCAGAATTGCCACTCTTGTTTAGGCTGTGCCTGCTTGCACTGTATTGGGATGAAAAAAATGCTGCAGAAGGTATGGCTATCAACATTGTCTCTGTTTAGCCACAAGCCTTTAGCTTGTCAATCAGCATCTGGCCACACCTCATCCTGCCCACTGCTTTCTGGATTGACAGCACTGCCTCCGTTACTGAGACCCTCCCACTGCGAGCTGCAGTGCCTGGAAGGGGAAGCATGTGAGACACAAATGAAGGAGGGTTTGGCTCATTTAAAGAAGTTAAAAGAAGCAAATTGTTTACTTTAATAGGCTTGTGTATCAAATATTAACTGGATTTGGCATTGGCTCTCCTGGGTCTATCAGTAGGATCACACAGTATCTGGAGCCATTGGCTCCTGCTGCTGTCAATCACAGGCAGTAAGCCCAATCAGGAGCAAGCGGGGGGGGGGGGGGACAGGGAAAAGCCACGCTCTGTGTGTGAATGGACAATGTCCATTCACAAGATCATGGCTCAGGAGCGAGCCTGCTCAACTGCCCCCATAGCAGGAGGTTTGCTATTGGGGGGGCACACGGGAGGGAAGAGGAGCCAGGAGAAGATTAGGGCTGCTCTGTGCCAAACCACTGCACAGAGCAGGTAAGCATAACATATTTTTTCTTGAATTACAACCTTTATAACCACTTTAATTTAACCGTTTACTGAATTCATTCTATTCATAGCTTTTTTGAGTCTATTTTAGAAGAGGTGTGACATCATTATCTCATATGGGATCAGGCTGTATTATCTTGGTGTACTATATTCATCATCATCAAAACCCATAACAATAATACTGGTCAAAATGATGGTATATCATGAGAGATATTATTGTTCTTCTGATGAACAGAGCTATGGGTGTGATTAACACTTTTGTTGTTCACAGTGGAACTTTGATGACTCATTTTAGCAAAGGGATGAATAATGACTCTACTATCAAGTTAGCAAGGTGTCAAATCCCTCCAAACCAGAGAAAAAAGTGTTTTGCCTTGTAGATTTTTTGACGAAAATATTAAAACTGTTGTCAGTGCCGGGACAAGGTCATCCAGTGCCCAGGAAAAAATGCCAAACTGCCCCCACCCCATTCATGATGTGCATGTTTTGGGGGGGGGGGGTTGCTACGCCCAGCAGTCACTCAAATCACTGCCGCTGTCATACTCCTGTCTTGTAACAGAAGAAAGGTGCCTTTAACCCTACAATAAACCATTGCGCCCAAGGCAGCTGTCCCTCTCGCCCACCCCTTGTCCCAGCCTTGCAGCCCATTTATAAAGGGGGCTGGTTATATTCAAGTATACATCATCTTGCTACATTTAGGACTATTATGTCTTCCTTTCGTTCAAGTTATTTCGGTTCACCATGGAAAACTGTGCTATTGAGACGCATTCTAAAAAAATTGTGAAAAACACACAGATGGGTAAGACAGGGGAACATTTTTCCAGCTTGTTTTTAGGCTCCATGCACACTGGGCATTTTAAAGTGGAGCTCCATCCAAAAGGGGAAGTTCCGCTTTAAGGACTGCTCCCCATTAAGGATTGGCACCTTTGGGGGGCGCGGGGGGAGCCTGAATTTGACAGGTACCTGCTCCCACTTCCGGTCCAATCGCCTAGGTGATCAGAAGTGGAAGGTATCCTCCTTCCCTCCCTGTAGTCTATTGGGACACATGACAGGTCCCAGAAGACTACAGGACCATTCATGAAGCGAAGCGCTTCTCGCGCATGCGCAGTGGGTACCCGGATGCGAAGCCGCAAGCTATCACAGCCGGGTGCCCACACTGAAGATGCCAGCCTCTTGGAATACAGGACGCCGGTGAAACGGCGGGACCGAGGGACAGGTAAGTGGCTGTTTTTTAAAAGCCAGCAACTACAGTTTTTGTAGCTGCTGAGTTTTATTTTTTGACAGGGTGAGTGAACTCCACTTTAATAACGCTGGTAATGTTAGCTGTGTAAAGTCATGTTAAAAACTTGAGTTTTTTAGCGGTTTTGCATTAGCATTTTGCCACATTTTTTCGCATTTGCGGTTTTCAGCTTTTTTAATGTTTTTTTACCCCCCCAATCTTTTTTGGTCAAAAAAAGGTCCAAAACCTTTTTGTCGCATTTTTTAGCATTAGAGCGTTTTTTCAGCTAAAAGACTCCTCTAGAAACTCACTAGTCCTGGGTTTTTTTTACAGACAAAAAACATCATTGCCAAAAAATGTTGATTACAGTCTATGTATACATGGACACATAGGATAACATGCTGGGGGGTTTACTGGCTGTAGAAAAAAACGTCAAAAGCCAAAAACTGCAGCTGTAAATATGTCCAGTGTGAATGAAGGCCCATAAAGAAAGGCTTATGATAGCTTTCATTATGTGTAGTTTTTAGAAAGAAATTGTGTGTAATGTGTTCATAAATTTGAAAATTATACCAATTTCACTGAATTGTTTTCAGGGTATTAGTTCCAAAATCACAGTAATCTTTTACAACTGAACTATATACAGTATACTATCATTTTTGGGGTTGTGAACTGTTGTTTTCTCCTCTTCTTGGGAGAAATGACAAGGTATACTTTTTTGTTACATATGAAGGAGAGGTTGTATCTGTGAATTATTATTTATTTATTTCAGGTACTTATATAGCGCCATCAATTTACGCAGCACCAGGGGCGGACTGACCATTTGGAAACTCGGGCACTGCCCGAGGGCTCGGGGTCAGTAGGGGGCCCCATGAGATGCCCCTGGTACATTTTTCATAGGCTTTTTTGAGTTTGGGCAAGGACACAGGGGCCCCATGATCCCCTATTGCCCGGGGGCCCCATGAGTTGTCAGTCCGCCCCTGCACAGCACTTTAAATATGTATTGTACATTCACATCAGTCCCTAACCCTCAAGGGGTGTACAATCTAAAGTGCCAGTGGTGGTTCACCTATAGGGCCAGGCTTAGTAAGAAAAGGTATGGCTTAGGCCCCTTTCACATGAGTGGATCGATCAGACCACCCATTGTTCTCTATGGGGAGGCGGATATAAACTCCATGCACGCTGGCTTAAAAAAACACTGCTCCAAGAGTTTAGCCTTTTGCCTGTAGAAGCATCTAATGTTATCCTATGTGTCCATGCACATTAGAGGCAGAAAAAAAAACATTCTCTTTTGCATCTTCAGGAGCATTTTTCTGGCAGAAAAAAACGCTGAATGAAATTACAAAGAAAAAACCTTCAAAATTAGCTTTTTTTCTGCCAAAAGCACTTGCATTTTTTAAGCCATTGTGCATGGAGCCTCAGTCTTTATGTATTGAGCCTTCTGTTCTGCTGTGTGACGGGCGCGGTGTCAGACCCCCAGCCCTTCTCACCAACATGTGACCGAAGGACTAGCCAATCTAAAACTGCGCTGTCATGTGCGTAACAATGCCACGCTCAGCTGCACCCTGCACAAAGATTTTCCAGCTAATGGACCACAATCTATGTACTGCAGCCTGAGAGCGATTGTTACTGGGTCAGGTTAATTACGCAATTAACCCTTCACACTGCCACCACCACTTTTTTGTACAGAGAAAGAGGAAACTTGCCAATCTTAGCAGTAACACTATGATGTTTGAATAAGCACCTGTATACACACTGTCACCGCAGGCAGATGTATGCAGAAGTTTAAAACACACAGTAGCGCTCTTCAGAGACAGGGATTCTTAGTTTGCATTAAAGAGCTTTAGAAACAGTTCAACACTTTTCAGAAAATAGGATTTATTACTAAAAAGGTCAAAATGGTGCAATAAAAATATTTACAGAAAAAGATGTAGCCATATATATATATATATATATATATATATATATATATATATAAATACAGAGAGCAATACCACAACAGAGACATAACAGAAAGAAGTTTAGAGAGGTAGAATACTTGCCGTCAGCCTTGCTTTAAGCAGATCAAGGTCCTGAACAAAAGGGTCTCGTTCTCCCAAGTTGGTTCCTGATGTTAAAAAGGTAGAATTCTTCAACTTATCTCTCTCAGGCCTCACAGCCTATTTTCTAGTCCACCAGCAGGGTGTCTTCTTAAAGCAGAAAACCAATCGCCTCATTTGGGGAGGGTGTTTAGGCGGGGAACTCTGCTATGACCAAATCCCTTGCATGTTTTTACCACGGTCAATAATCTTCCATAGGTGCATGGAGCATCCTATCCACTGGTGGGATAATAAGCAGAATCATCTGCTGAACGTCTAGATATCAGATATGACATATCTACCTGTGACGGTTAAAGAGATATCGCTTTCTGCTCTTGGATAGACGTAATCTAGGGATGTAAGATATCAGGCGACTCGCATTAAACTGAGCTATCCGAATATATGCTTTGTTCGATTGTATGTATTCCCTATTTTAAGTTATGAAAAGTGGTTTTAAATTGGATGTATGTTTTACGGCTATTCTGGAATGTGTTTCATGTCCAGTGAAAGACTGGTTTAAAGCTTTACGATCATCTCAGATCGAGAAGCTAACAGACAGTAATTGGGATTGCAACCATGAAGTGTATCCAGCTGTGCCTGATGCCCTTATGAACGCAGCACACACACCACATTCCTGAGGGAGGGGGATTGGAGGGAGAGAGAATTATACAAGATGGGGAATCTTGAGCAAGATGGATGACCGCGCCCATATCTGTGTGCACAATTGCTACATGCTGGACCCTTGAGTGACAGTGCTTGCAGTAGCTCTTTCTTTGAACTTGCTATATGTCTATGGATTTAGGGTAAGGTTAGGTTCACACCTATGCAGTTTGCGTTTGATCTGTTTCTGCAGTGCTTTTTGAGGTGTGTTTTATGTCTTTGCTTGTGCATTTTGCGTTTTTTTTTATGGTTTTTTTTTGGCCAACTTGTTGCTGGGAAGATTAAAAACGCAAAACGCATCACAAAGATTTACAGAAAAAAAAGTCGAACATACTGATACGCGATCCAGCGCAGGAGAGCCGCTCTGCCGTCGTACTCCTACATGAGGCGGTCAGCAAGCAGTCAATAATCAGGTTCTGATTATGAATGGTTATCTTTCAAAAAACTGTTGGGAGCTTTCTAAATGTTTTGTAAGGCCTGGTTCACACCTACGTTTTTTTAGTAGGTTTTGCATTTGCAAGAATGCAATACAGTCCATTTAACATGATTTCATTTGGGACATGTTCACATCTATGTGGTTTCAGCCGCTGCGTTTTTGGAAAGGGTCAGGGACTTCTTCGCTGCATTAAATTGCATTTTTGGTGCAATAGACTTCAATGGAACTGCACCAAAAATGCAAGTGTTGAGTTTTTGATGCATTTTACGTTTTCTTTTGGCCAATCAGAAAGTACTGAGTATGTGACTTTACACTCTCTGGCACTCAAGTTTCATCAAAGTAGTGCAAGAACCCTTTCAAAGTTGCAGCGACTTTGAAAAGGTTCCTGCACTACTTTGATGCGGCTTTGAATACCAGAGAGTGTAAAGTTGCATCGAAGTTGCACTCAATAAAAACACAAAACATAAAAAATGCGTAAAAAATGCACCGGAAAACTTTCCGGAAAAACACATCACTTGCAACACGCATAGGTGTGAATCAGGCCTCCAAACTTTTCAGCACAAGGGCCACATTGTATATTTTACAAACATTTCTAGGCTGACAAAAATCAATTTTATAAATCAATGAGCTTCCCCTTACATTGTGGTCCCCATTAGAGTCACCCTTACTTCAGAGTCCCCATCAGAGTACCCCTTTACATCAGGATCTGCAAATAGAGTATCTGCCTTACATTAGAGCAGTGGTCTCCTGATGCGGCCCTTTACTTGTCTTTATCCAGCCCTTGGGACAATATTCCTCCCACTAACACCAAGGATGGGGCATTGTTTCCTCCCACTGGCCATCGTCTGACCCGCTAAAGTCAAAATTACATAAAAGTGGCCCTTTGTGTATAGGGATTGGAGAGCCCTGCATTATACGACGGACCTTTTCTATGTAGAAGATTTGTGGTATGGAAAAATGAGGCTCTACTCTACTTTTATTATGCAATAAAACAATCTGAAGACAGAAGTCAGCACTTTCTCTAAATCCTTCTCTGAATCATTTAGCTGTTCATTGGCAAACTTCAGACGGGCCTGTACAAGATTTCAATCCATGGTGGCGTATTGTGTTACCAATGGTTCTCCTCCCATGTAATTCTGGGCTGATCCCTCACTCTTCTCATGAACAACATCCCTTGTGGTAGCATTGGCAGCGACAGGTACTCTTTCCTCGGAGATTTAGGTCCTATTAGACCCCAGATCTCTCCTTTGCCCTTAAAAGCATTAGATCAAACCAAGATTGGTTTGATCCAATGTTTTTCCCATACCAGTAATTGTTTGCAAACAGGAAAACCAGAAATGACTAAATACTTGTCACTTCCGGTTTCTTATACCATAAAGATGATCATCCCGGTATATCCATTGAAACCCCGCTATGTACGGGTATGTTGCAGGGTGTCAAGTGTCTAATGATAGTCAAGAAGTGGAAAGTAAAGTGGTTTCCAACATTAGTTACTGTATATCACAAAGGCGCCTGCTGCCATCATTCAAGTGTCAGGAAACAGTGAAGCTGCCCTCCTATAGTGATGCAAAACCACTCTATGTGTCAAAATTAAAAGGAATTAATAGTCGCCACCACAATACAAATATTCAGTCCAGATTTCCTAAACATAAACTCTCTACAGAAAGTCCACCTCACCAACGTGTAATTAATCTGCAGTGCTTCTGAGGTTATTAGTGTGATATATTAGATCTTGTAACCATGCCACCATTTTCCACACCACTGTGATAAATGTGCCCTCACCGACACTCCAGTGACTCTAATTTTACTAAAGGTCAAAAAGCGCTTGTGGGTTATGTATTCTCTTCCAAAGTAATGGTCATCAAAATCACTTCCTCCATATTTTTCTTACTTGCTGGAACATATCTCCAAAGTGGACCACACCACTAACCTGCTGGGTCGATGAAGTCACAAGGGGGCGTTGTCACCCGGGTGATGTCATGGGTGGTCCCGCCCCTTATCTATTTAAGAACTATCAGGCCGGCAGAGCTGTCAGTCAGCGGGAGCCTTCCTCGAGACAGAGCCTTTTTTTTTCCTTTTTCAGGTTGGCGGTGACGGTGGGCATCATGATTGATGATGGATCTACACCGGGGGACATTTTCTTTATTTTTGTTTTTTTTAATAAAGGACTGATCAAAAACTGCCTACTGTCTTTTTTTTCATGAATCCTTTTTTTTTTTGTGATTGAGTAGCGGTACCATGTATCCCATACTCATTCACATAGGAGGGGCCGGGATCTTGGCGCCCCCTTGTTAAAGGCAGCTTCTAAATTCTGATAAGCTCCCCGTCAGCGGACCCCCACAACCACCGGCCAGGGTTGTGGGGAAGATTCTCTTCTCCCCATCAACATGGGGACAAGGTGCTTTGGGGGGGAGCCCCCTACTCCAAAGCACCCCCCCACCCCCATGTTAAGTGCATGTGGCCTGATATGGTTCAGGAGGGGGCGACCCCATGTCATTTTTTTTCATTTTGGATTGGGTGATTCCCTCAAAATCCATACCAAGCTTGGTATGGATAGGAGGGGGGAACCCCACAAAAATTTCTTTGCCTAATTTTTAATTGCTAGCAATTCTTTTTTTTTTATATTAAACATTATTGCATGCTGTCACTCCTAAAATACCTCATGACTTAATAAAATAACTAATGCAGTATTTTAGTAGCTTTTTTTAGTGAATGCCATTTTTTTTTTTAAATACTGTGGGGTATCTTACTGCATACTCGGAGGCGGTAAGATACCGCTTAGTGTCATTTTTAGTAGGGGTTTCCTGAGACCGGAAAGTAAAGCAGGCCATACATGGGTTGAATTCCTAACGATTTTTCGATCAAAAATCGAAAACATTGTTCGTTCTGTAATCCGATGGTGCCACCAATGATTTTGAAAATCGGTTGTTTTTCATGAATTTTCCAGCATGCCCAATAAACGAAGTGGGGAGGAGCCAGGAAAATCAGACAGTGCCATTGCCCCACTAACAGAGCAAAAATCAACCGATTATTCTTAAGTCTGATTTTCGAATGAACAATCATTCGAAAATCGGCTCATGTATGTCCGGCCTTACTTCAAGGGTTCATTTTTGTTGAAAACATTGAGAAAAGCTGTTGTAGATGTTGGGTGCGTATTTATTTATTGATTTCAGGTACTTATATAGCGCCATCAATTTACGCAGCGCTTTCACATATATATTGTACATTCACATCAGTCCCTAACCCTCAAGGGGTGTACAATCTAAGGTCCCTAACTCACATTCATACATACACATACTAGAGACAATTTAGACAGGATCCAATTAACCTACCAGCATGTCTTTGGAGTGTGGGAGGAAACCGGAGTACCCGGAGGAAACCAACGCAGGCACAGGGAGAACATGCAAACTCCAGGCAGGTGGTGCCGTGGCTGGGATTCGAACCAAGACCCTAGTACTGCCAGGCGGAAGTACTAACCAGCACATTTTACCTTGAAGCAGGGGCGGACTGACCATTTGGGAATTCGGGCACTGCTCGAGGGCCCTGGGTCAGTAGGGGGCCCCATGAGATGCCCCTGGTACCTTTCATAGGCTTTTTTGGGTGTTGTTTGAGTGTGGGTGAGGACACAGGGGCCCCATGATCCCCTATTACCCGGGGCCCCATGAGTTGTCAGTCCGCCCCTGCCTTGAAGCTTACAGTTTCCTTCAGTTAGCTGTTTATATAAACTCTGCTTTTTTTTTTAAATCATTTGAAAACATGGTAAAAGCTGGAATTCCCTTTTAAATGTTATCCAATATATTCTCTTTATTCAAAACAGGATTAATTTGACCACTTGTAGCACAAGCCTTGCGGGGTAATGTATTACTGGATTGCCTGACAGCAGGGTAGATGAATGACCCTCAGTGTGTGTTTTCAGAGCAACAGCTTACCCTGCTGAAACACAGATGTGGCTGGGAATGACCCCCCCCCCCCCATATCAAGGCAATTCGAAGCCTTTGCTTATTGGCCCAGAATCAAGAATGCAAAGAATTTTAAATGCAAGTTTTCTGAGCTGAAATATGTGAAGAAAACTGATTTTTTTTTTCATGCTGGTCACTAGTGGACTTTTTTGGCAGGAAAATATATAGAAACTTTTTATCATTATAATTTGTTTTTTGTAGTCACAATACTGTGGGTGTAATTGATATGCATCCTATCAGCCAGGCAAATATAACAAAACAAAGACAATTTGCGTGCCATTTAATTAAAACCCTTTTTTTTGCTTTGCTTTGGTTAGCCTTACAAGAATAAATACTTTTGTCAAGTTTTTATTGCTGTTTTTGACTATGTTGGAGAGATTTTATCCCACTTCCTGTCCTAGTGACAACAGTACAAGAAATTACGGGAGTGGCTGTCAGCAACACAGATAGATATAGACAGTGATATTAACCTAACAGAGGTTTTACGCCTTCCCCAATTTAATGTTTACAAAGTTTGGAGAGCCCTGCTCTATAGTGTGTACTTGTCTCAATTAAGAGCACTAAGTGTCACTTCTGTCCAGGGACGGACTGACCGTTTGGAAACTTGGGCACTGCAGAGGGCCCGGGGTCAGTAGGGGGCCCCATGAGATGCCCCTAGTACCTTTTTCATAGGCTTTTTTGAGTTTGGGCAAGGACACAGGGGCCCCATGGTCCCCTATTGCCCGGGGGCCCCATGAGTTGTCAGTCCGCCCCTGCTTCTGTCTACTGCATTGTTTTCTGCTATCAGCAGGAGTCACTTCTGACAAGTTTTCCTGACATCAAGTGATAAATGGTGACAAGGTAGGGAGCTCCAGCAGATTGACAGCCTCAGCTCTGTACCTGTGAGCTGTGTGGAGGGGGGAGTCTCTTCCCTCCAATCAGCTCTCAGGGTTCTCCTCACTGAGCTCTGCAGAGTGTAACTTCAGCTCTCTGCCCCTTTTTTTCCTGAACTCTCAGACAAGCTTTATAAAAGCAGTACTTTGATTGAATGTAGAGAATAGATTACTACAGATAAACAGGTACAACTTATGTAGGAGGATTTGTTTAATTTCTGTGTATCACCAGTCACTTCAATGGGTATATGTAAGGGTTTACAACCACTTTGTATGCATGTGTGGGCAACCTACGGCCTTGCAACTGGCAACTAGAAATCTCATCGCCATGCCAGAAATCATGTTGTGTTTTATACTAAGGTTCATGATAACCTGGTACTTAAGGCCCTTTATGCAGGCCATAGATGGGTCGAAAATCGGCCGATTTGTCGGCCGAAAATAAAATCGGCCGATTTTTGGATCGTTAGTGGGCGATTTGGTCGGCCGTTTTTCGGGATTTTGGCTGAGGATGAAGAAGAAGAAGAAGAAGAGGATGAGGATGAAGAAGAAGAAGAAGAGGATGAGGATGAAGAAGAAGAGGATGAGGATGATGAAGAAGAAGAGGATGAGGATGAAGAAGAAGAAGAAGAAGAGGATGAGGAAGAAGAAGAAGATGAGGATGAGGATGAAGAAGAGGATGAGGAAGAAGAAGAGGATGAGGAAGAAGAAGAAGATGAAGAAGAGAGAAGAAGAAGAAGAAGAAGAGGATGAGGATGAAGAAGAAGAAGAAGATGAAGAAAATGAAGAAGAAGAAGAAGAAGAGGATGAGGATGAAGAAGAAGAGGATGAGGATGATGAAGAAGAAGAGGATGAAGAAGAAGTAGAAGAAGAAGAGGATGAGGAAGAAGAAGAAGATGAGGATGAGGATGAAGAAGAGAAGAGGATGAAGAAGAAGAAGAAGAAGAGGATGAGGATGAAGAAGAAGATGAAGAAGAAGAAGAGAGAAGAGGATGAGGATGAAGAAGAAGAAGAAGAAGAAGAAGAAGAAGAGGATGAGGATGAAGAAGAAGAAGATGAAGAAGAAAGAAGAAGAGGATGAGGATGAGAAGAAGAAGAAGAAGAAGAAGAAGAAGAGAAGAATGAAGAAGAAGAAGAAGAGAAGAGGATGAGAAGAAGAAGAAGAGGATGAGGATGAGAAGAAGAAGAGGATGAGGATGAAGAAGAAGAAGTAGGATGAAAATAAGAAGAATTCCAGTCCAGCAAAAAGTATCTCTGCAGAGAGCTCCGCTATTTCTGACAGTTCTCTGACAGTTCCTTCACATTTACAGCGGTTGAAACATTGTATCTATTTGTTTCCGAATAAAAACATCTGTATCCTAAATGGAAACAAATAGATACAATGTTTCAACCGCTGTAAATGTGAAGGAACTGTCAGAGAACTGTCAGAAATAGCGGAGCTCTCTGCAGGGACACTTTTTGCCAGCTGTAGAAGGGATGAAAATCGGCCGATTTTTTTTACCATTGATGGTAACGTCGGCCGCTTGAACGACCGAATTTTCGTTTTTTAAAAGAAAAATCTGCCGTTTTTTCTCCCCATCTATGGCCTGCATTACTATACTCTAATGCAATAACAAGAAAAAGAGAGGAAGGCGCCTCTAAGTGCAGTATTGACAATTTATTTAGTAAACAATGGATAAATTGCACTTACAAGATAAATAGTTAAAAAGACTCATCGTGTGGTAATTAGTTCCAGGTGGGACATCCAGCCGTCCAGCAGCAAACTCTGTCTATAAGATCAGGAAGTAAAGTCCAGGATGTGCCTGTGCATCAAAATGAAGCTAGGAGAGCAGAGTCGAATGTAGGAGGTGAAGGGGGCGGTAATGCATTTTGGAGCATGCTCAATAGGTGAGGTCTGAAGAAGGAGCCTATTGAGCATGCTCTGAAATGCATTACCGCCCCCTTCACCTGCCACATCCGACTCTGCTCTCCTTTCTTCATTTTGATGCACAGGCACATCTGGACTCTACTTCCTGATCCTATAGACAGAGTTTGCTGCTGGACGGCTGGATGTCCCACCTGGATCTAATTACCACACGATGAGTCTTTTTAACTATTTATCTTGTAAGTGCAATTTATCCATTGTTTACTAAATAAATTGTCAATACTGCACTTAGAGGCGCCTTCCTCTCTTTTTCTTGTTACTGCATTAGAGCCTTGCATCCACTCTAAGAAGAGCTGCCTCAGTGTTACTGCTCCCATCCATCCATCCATCCCTGATATCCTACAGCTACAGAGGTTGGGCTCCAACAGGTGCGCCCTATATAATATACATTTTCTGATAAAGGCATGATGATGTGCATAACAAAATGATCTATAGAAACCAATCAGATTTTGCTTTACAGTAAAGTGAACTGTAAGATTATTACTGATTGGCTGGAGTGGATCATGTTTTTTTTTTTTTTATATATTTTTTCACATCATCGCTGCTTTTTGCAATGCTTTATGGAATAAGCCTGTAAGAGGCTTACATGATCCACATCTGGCTAATTCTGACCAAAAATAACTTATGGCGACAAAGAAAACTGACTGATAACTCTGAGATTTTCTTGCATCTTTTGACAGTTTAATCCGACACTCCCTGTCTAAGCCTGTGCAGCTTAGGGGATGGGGGTGGTGGTGGTGGCAGTGGGGGGGGGGGGGTTTGGGGGGGTTGTAATTCAGCATCTTGGCATCACGCTGCTGCAATTAAAATAATTAAGAAAGCAGTGCTAGAATTACAGAGCAGATCTGTGTAGAGAGCCTCCATGGAAGAGCAGCTTCCACTTGCTGGGATATCTCTGGATTTATGGAATCAATACCGACTCTCCAGGAGTTAGCTCTTGTACATACAGCCTGCATGGAGCTTTGGCCACAGGCGCAGCAGAAACAGTGCCAAAATCATAAACGCTAAAGAAAACTTTTCTCAACGGCCAACACGGTGTTTATGTAAAATTGCCGAAAAGAATTCTGCTTAGTTTTTTTATACAGTATCTATGAATACAACTAATAATCCTGCCTTGGGTCTCTATTGGCAAAATTCATCACACAAAATAAATATTTCCAGGGCTTTTTTTCTTAGATAATAGGTTCAGGAACTCCTCCTCTTCTGAACCACCTATTGTCTCTGCCTCCTACCCACCTCCAAGGACTGTCCCTTGGTTCCACACCCTACCCACCTCCGAGGACCATCCCTTGGTTCAACCCCCTACCAACCACCAAGCACTGTCCCTTGGTTCCACCCCCTGCCCACCTCCGAGTACCGTCCCTTGGTTCCACCTCCTACCAGCCTCCGAGGACCGTCCCATGATTCCACCCCCTACTCACCTCCAAGGACCATCCCTTGGTTCACCCCCTACCAATCGCCAAGGACTGCCCCTTGGTTCCACCCCCTACCCAACTCCGAGGACCATCCCTTGGTTCCACCCCCTACCCACCTCCGAGGACCATCCCTTGATTCCACCCCCTACCAAGGACTGTCCCTTTGTTCCACCCCCTACCCACCTCTGAGGACCGTCCCTTGGTTACACCCCCTACACACCTCTAAGGACCATCCCTTGGTTCCACCCCCTACCAACCGCCAAGGAATGTCCCTTGGTTTCCACCCCCTACCCACCGCTGAGGAACGTGCCTTGGTTCCACCCCTACCAACCTCCGAGGACCATCCCATGGTTCCACCTCCCAGCATAGCCCCTTTTAGAGAGTATAGAACCAAGTATCAGCTCCATGGAGCAGGGCCCTCCTAACCTTCTTGTATTGAACAGTATTGTTGCTGTATTGTCTCCAGTTATATTGTAAAGCCCTGAGCAAACTGTTGGCGCTATATAAATCCTGTATAATAATTATATGGTGCTAAGTAAGTTGTACGGAATTTGTTAATGATAGCAAGAAATGCATTAAAATAGATTCCCCCAGCAGCAACAGAACCCCCAGCAACAAAAGACTCCCCTCAGCAAGAATGGACCCCAGTAGCAAAATACCACCCCAGCAACAATAGATCTTCCAGAATCCAGCATCAATGGACTCTCCAGCAGTCAGCAACAATAGACCCCTCCCTCAACAGTAGATCCCTTCCAGCAACAATCGACCCCAGCAATATAACACCCCCCACCCCTCCACAAACAACAATAATCCTCCCCAGAAAAAAATAGATTGCCACGCAAAAATAGATCCCACCCTGCAACAATAGATCCCCCAGTAGCAAGCATCAATATACCCTTCAGCACACCCCAGGACCCCTTGCCATTACATACATTCAGTGCTTGAGGTGTCGGACCTGCATTCCCCCGCATTCCTGCTGAAAAAAAGCCCTGGATATTTCTGCTGAATGTATGGACTCGTTGGTGATGACAGGTAAGTTCACTACTGGGGGGTCCATAACAACTAACCTTTAAGTTTCATCCAGCATCAGTCGATGCCTTTTCAATTTTAAACCACAAAAAGAGTTTTAGAACTTGATAAATGCTTACTGGATCCATAGCAATATGTTGCAATGTTATGTAGACTGTAATTGAATTTTGACTGCTCTTCAGATCCTATGTGTAGTGTCATGGCGTGATTTGGGCTGGGACAACATGCATTGCACATGTATATGTATCCTGTAAAGCTGAATTCCATCCAAATAGACAGTTGAAATGCGTATGTTTTCCCTGTAAAGGATTTGCACTTCATTTAAGCCAACTTGTGATTCAGGCAGGACCAGAATTTCACTGCTGATATAATACAGTTAGAGCGGAACTTCACCCAAAAGGAGAAGTTCCACTTTTCGCCTACTCCCCTTCTCTACCACTTTTGGAAACGGGCGGACTGGCCATTTAGAAACTCAGGCACTGTCCGAGGGCTCGGGTCAGTAGGGGGCCCCATGAGATGCCCCT